GCGGGAAGCCTGCTTCTCCCTCTCCCACTCCCCCTGCTTGTGTTCCCTCTCTCGCTGTGTCTCTGTCAAATAAATAAATAAAATCTTTAAAAACAAACAAACAAAAAAAAAACAATGATCTCAGGATGAAGGGACACCAGGGGCTTCCTATCTTTGTCTTCTTCTGTTCTCATAGAGCTCTACTTAGACATATTATGTGATAAACATCAGAATATATACGAAGATAGGTTCCTATAAGATAACTACTGAACGAAACGTGTTTTATTTGGAAATTACATGTTAATATAAAAGTGTCTTTAAAAATTTAAAATACAGATTACCACATCATTTTTTTTTTAAGATTTTATTTATTTATTTGACAGAGAGAGACACAGCGAGAGAGGGAACACAAGTAGGTGGAGAGGGAGAAGCAGGCTTCCCACGGAGCAGGGAGCCTGATGTGGGGCCTGATCCCAGGACCCTGGATCATGACCTGAGCCGAAGGCAGATGCTTAACCAACTGAGCCACCCAGGTGCCCCAGATTACATCATTTCTTAAATTAACAAATACAGACTACAAACTCCAGGAGGACAGGAATCGCGTCTGTTTTGCTCACCATTCTATAGGCATACTCTAGCACAAATTTAAATATTCCTCCTAAAGTTAAAATTCCACAGAAGATAAACAGATGTTCATTAACTCATATGATACAATATTTCAAAGTACTGGAATGTTTTGGGTTAGAGAAAAAAACATGAAAAAATATACCATTTATGATAATATAAGTAAGGTTCATGTTATTTGGAATTCCATATTAGCCATTCTGCCAACAAAACTCCCAATAAAATAACCCCATTGCACTTTAATTGAACTGATCTATACATATAATCACTGGTTTTATTAATCCAAGTACCTTTCACTCACTATATCACTAGAACTGTTAGAATGAATCATCCAAAACTATTCAATGAAATTGAAGAGCCACAGATGTTCACTGCATTGTGAATTATCACAGGATAAAACTACTGAAAAATTACTGGGATCTTAAATTTTGACCATGCATCTTTAAAACGTATCATTTCTTTCAAAAGGAAAAAAAGAACAAAAAATCAGTCAAAGAAATAACTTACACCTTTACTGCATTTTATTTTACTCCGATAAAATACCAAAATCATCAAAGAAGAAATAATTTACAGTTTAAAAAAGAAAGAATACCAATCCTGCACTTTTTAGGTACCTGAGTAAAGAAAGTAGCAAATTAACATCAGACTATTATAGGTGGTAAGCATGAAAGATTCATTCTTCCTCACTCATCGCATCCTCCCCAACAGAGAACTGACAAGTTTCTGGAGTACAAAATTACACTTCCTTTATTAGTGAGAAAGGACAACTCTAAGAATGTACCACGAACGTCAAGAAAAAGAAGGAAAACTGAGAACCACTATGGAACCCAAGGTACATCAACCAATTAAATGGGAAGAAACTCTTTAGAAATGGAATACTCCTCAAGCCTAGAAACAAACAGTCCAACATTTTGTGGTAGGCAGAATGCCATCTGTTTCAAGATTCCTAACCTAGGTGCTGCTATGAAGGCATTCTACAGGCATAATTACGGTTGTGAACCTTAAAATAGCATTCACCTCTGTTATCCTAGTAGGCCAATTTAATCACTTGGATCCTTAAAAGCAGTAAGTTTCTCCAGCTCAAGTCACAGAGACACAGCAGAAGAGAGAAGCAGGACAGATGAGGTGGAGGGGAGAGTAGACGGATGGGAAGCCTGAGAAAGAGCCCCCCTACCCTTGCTACCCGTGACCATGGAGGAAGGGGTCTGCGAGCCAAAGAACCCCAGTGGCCTCTCCACCCTGAGGAGGGCTCCAGGACAGGGAGGGAAGGAGGACCTCAATTCTACAAGGCATGCAACTGATTCTGGGAGAGCCTGAGTGAGTTTGGAGATGACTGCTTCCCTGAGCCTCCTCCCCCTGAGAGCGCAGGGCCAACGCCTGGATTTCACTTTGTGTGACTGGGAGCAGAGAAACCAGGCCAGCCCAGCAGGCCTCTGACCCCTAGAACCGTAAGACAGTACACAGATATCGTCCAAAGCTGCTAATTTGTGACGATTTGTTAAGAGAGGCAAAAGAAAATGAATATGCATGTCGTTCTGTTCTTCCCCTTTCCTCTCAGACACAGACTTCATGAGAAAGATGGAGCCACGGAAGCAAGGTGCCTGGGATGGGACACAGGCCCGCATCAGGGAAGGAGCTCTGAAACAGGAAAGCCACCCCGCTCACATTGACTCTTAATGGAGAGCCTCCCTGGGGCTGCTGTAGGGTCTTCAAGGAACCTGCTCCTGATAACCTCACATACACAGCACAACACCTGCTCAGAGCAGTTACTTAAAAAAGTCAAAATTCGATCAAAATTACTCAAGTCCCAATATTAGCATCTGGTAACTGCTATTTTATAAAGTAATATAGTAGATGTGGCTCGTATATTAAAGCTTGGTTTGGAGGATTAAAGTGACATGCCTAAAAGTTTTGAGGACTGTCCTATCTTGAAATTAACACTACCTTCATAAACACATTTTTTAAGTTACTGTTTGAAAGTTTACAGATTACAAAAAAGATTGCTAAAACTTAATAAAAATCTTTCCATACAAATGATGCTTGAAAAATTACATTTGAAATCAAATCTTTACAATCTGATTAAAAAGAAATAAGTGCTTGGGGCGCCTGGGTGGCTCAGATGGTTAAGCGTCTGCCTTCGGCTCAGGTCATGATCCCAGGGTCCTGAGATTGAGTCCCGCATTGGGCTCTCTGCTCAGTGGGGAGCCTGCTTCCCCCTCTGCCTCTCTCTCTGTCTCTTATGAATAAATAAATAAAATCTTTTTAAAAAATTTTAAAAAAAGATAAGTGCTTGTCATTCTCTAGCAATTTGAATTTTTTAAAACTCATTCATACATTAAAAACTCCAATTTTATATGAAAACTGTATTAATAAAACCATCCGACCGAATACAAAGTCATCCAGCCATATACCAATATATATAACTTTCGCTTAAAAATAGGCAGAATATGATTTTAGAAGTATATTAAACTTTCAAAGCATCTGAATATGTGAATATCATGAGGTTTTTAGT